ACACACACACACACACAAACGCGCGCGCGCGCGGGCCTGCACACACATGCACACACACGCAGGCTTACAATCACATGAATAATATAAATGAGCAGCAATATAAAACAATAATAATCGTAAGCTAGATACACACTCAATGTTATTTTGATACATGCTCTAGGTCGTAAGTATACTTATTCAAGTATGAGTCTAATCTCACCCCAAGTTCAGAGCTCGACCTTCAGCCCGTATTACATCTTATAACATTTAACTAGAATCTAGATCTAGATAGATAGGAAAGATGAGAAGTGACCCGACCCGGGTAGGAGTAACCAAAAATTATTTTTTAAAAATTGGATCTACTTTTGTTTTAGCTTCAAGCTCGGTTTTCTCATTTTTCAAAGACTACGTACCGAACTCATGTCTAATCTATCCCCATCGTTTTATGCTAGAAAAATTCTGAAATTATGCAAACTGAGCCCAAAAAGGTGAAATTATGCTAGTTTTAGTTTAAGTACAGTTTTTACGGCGCTCGCAACTGCATAGGGTCATATGAGCGCCAGAAGACAGAAGATTAGATGTGTCACAAGAGAGTAACAAACATAAAAAAAGAAGAAGGGGAAATAAGGACGATAGATGTTTCATAGGAAAGAAGAAGCAAACCACACCAGAGCACCCGCCAACCACCCAATTATGCGATTCTGTTAATTTTAACAAAGAATGATAAAGGAAAATAATAAGAATTTATGCAAAAAGTGAACAAATTTTGCTAAATTATGCGGGGTGCATAAAACCACGGGGGCAGTCTAATATTTGGATTCGGGTGGGATATATTATATTATTCTGTTTTGCTAACTCCTGTTCGTTACAGACTTAGACTTACCTGCTGGCCTCCTTTGAGTGTTTACCTACAGCACTGCTCATGGACTGGCCCGAAAGGGGGGAACAGGTTATTTTTGTTGCAAAATAAAAATACAGCTGTGGAGACAGTTGGAAAATAAAATAAAACAATATATAGCTAGTGGAGAGGGTTGAAAAATATTAAGTAAAATAGGCCTACAGCTTATAGTGGAGACGGTTGGAAAATAGAAAATAAAATACAGCTAGTTCATGGAGACGGTTGGAAAAAAGGAGAAAAAATTCAGCTATTGGAAACGGTTGAAATATATAGAAAATAAAATACAGCTACTGGAGACGGTTGGAAAATATAGAATAAAATACAGTTGAAAGATCGAGACGGTTGGAAAATATAGAATAAAATATAGGTAGTGGTGACGGTTGGAAAATATTAGACACTAGCAGACCACCGGCAAGTCCTATTGGTATGCGCTTAACTTCTGACTTTTTTAAAAATAATGTGCTTATTCATATATTTTGATTTATAAATGTATTTGAGACGGGATTTGTTGCTTTCGTTTTGTTTTGTTTTGGATCACGAGAGGGTGGGGGAGTATTTTCACTAGCTGTGATCAGTTATATAAAATATATAATGCGGCAGTACCTCTGAAAGCAATAATTTGTTGAGCTTGAGCTTGAGAAAATTTACCACGCAGTGATAAGCCTTTTAAATTAAGGGAATAGCCTACATTTTTTAAAAGCACCCGCCCGTTTAAACTGACAGAAGGCCTGCGTGTTTCTTTGTGTCCCCCCCCCCTCCCCCACAATCGGCAGTGTAAAAATGAGTTTTTGTATTATAATCACTACAAATATCACTGACAATGCAGTTCTTTAAATTGTTCCCTTTGATGTAGGGTAGATTCTACATACACGCGTGTCGCAAATTCGCACCGTCAACTGCGTCAAGAGCGGCCGTCCAATCAGCGTCAGATAACCTACATATAAGCTGCACTGTCAGTGGCTGGATTTTTTTCTTTTGCTAGCCTAACGGACGGAGGGGGCGCTGGTCCAGTGACCACTGGGTGACCACCAGATCTGGAGAACACTGGTTCAGTCAACTGCCCGCTCAGTTCAGTTGTTGCCGCGACTCGCGAAACCAGAACGTCGACAACACAAGCAACGTACGGAGTACGGAAGTGACGTCATCATCATAGTATGGACTTGGAGTAAACCATGGCTGACGAAGATGAAATTGTTTTGAGTTTTGGAGACAGCTTACTACGGAAGTCCGACCTTAACCTGTTGAATGAACCAAACTGGATCAATGATAAAATCATTGCCTTTTGCTTCGAGTAAGTTTCCATGCTTATGCATGTTTTATTTTCTGTTTCTTACTTGTTACATGCACGTATCCCTCGAACCTCCCCCGCCCCATCGCATGCCCCCGTTTACCCTTTGCCTTCGCTTTCTCTTGTTGACTGCTAGCCTAGATCTTGCTCGTGCAAGTGCAAAATCTGCGCAATCTCTCAAGAAGCTGAAGTCAAGGGTGTTCGTGTCGATCTCGTGTTGTTGTAGGCTTAGAATCTAGTCGTATACAATAATGTGCCATCTGTTCGTTAGTCAGCTCTTACTTCAAAGTGACATTAAAGTTACTCTACGTTTCGGTTTCGATCTGTCTGCTTGCTTGACTTGGACTTGACACGATCTTGACTGGAACTTGCCCTATTTTTGTTATTGTTTTGCAGGGCAGGTGTGGGAGTGTGATGGTTAGACCAGATCTAGAACAATAGACGGTGCAACTCGGTATATAAGCAGTATTTCCTGTCCGCAGTGTCGTCATACAATAGATCTACCTAAAAATATTATATGTTCGAATCCTTATATATGTTAGGCCTAGAAAACATGTACAAAAGCTGTCTACATTCTTTAAGACTAATGTTCAGTGCTTCCAAGCGTGGCACCGAATCCTAGTCCCGGAAGGTTTTGTTTTTCTTCTCCTGAGCCTAAATTTTTAAATTAAAAAATGAATTATTAGGCCTAGATTAGATTCTAGACTTACAGACCAAGGACGGCAAGGAAAGCCACTTGCAAGCGCCTATTGCACTTAAACAGGCCTAAAAATTGGTAAAAGGAAAAGTATATATAGATCTATGTGAAGTGTGCTGACAAAATGAGTTGCTCCTCATATTTTAGACCGATGGAAATAGAAACATCAAATTTATAGGTTGAAGTTTTACAATTTATCAGTATGAAATGATAAAAGACATGATGTTAAACTTGAAGAGAATGGCAATGGTTTAGAGTCTACAAATGTGACCATTGTGTTGACTTTTGGCTGATATCTCCATTCATGGATTGCGAGAAGTAACTCATTTTGTTAGCACGCCTCACATATGGCTATGCCTAAAAGGCAGGCCTACTTTGTAAAAGAGCTCCTCTTGGGGACACAACCAGAATGTGCATGCTTCATCACTATAAAAAAGCTACTAAGCAACAAGTTATAAGTTTAATGGGAAAAATTTGTTGGTCAGTCAAGAAGGACAAAAAAATCGTAACGTGGCGTTTTATTTAGCACTGGCGTTAATCGCTACGCGGCGTTGCAAATAGGCACTTCAAAAAATTTAACATCTTTGAGTTTTGATAGAATCTACTCACATTCTTTCGACCGACTTTACTTTTTCAGGATGATTGTGATAAGTCATAATAATTTATTTGGCTATTTTGGCTTTGGTCATCCTGTGGTTAGAATCTATCTGTAAATTATGGGACTGAATTTTGTAACAGTAGCGCCATGCCTGCAAATTTGTGTTGTGTAGTTTTAGTTTTATTCAAACTGAGTGTTACACTTGCAATACAAAAAATTAATAAAAGTGCCGAAGATTAAGAGGTGTTATCAAGTTTATGTAAAGTCAAAGAGTTGCAGGACAAAGAAATTTGTCTGATCAAGAAAGTAAAGGAGGAGCAGATCACACTAGAATGTCTACTTACCACCTGGAAGACCTTGACTAGATTGACATGATCTAGATTCTAGGTGTCGCTCTTCGATATAATACCACTTACTGAGCTGTCTCTAACACCCCCCCACCCATTTCCTTTGTTATAATTAGGCACCTGTGAATGATTCTGTGCATTATTGTCGCTTTGTTAGCCTTGTTCTGTTTAATTTGTTAGTGATGGAATGATTTGCGGACATTTTAAGGTTAAAAATTAAATTGTAATTGTTTGATGTTTAAGACTTTCGGGGAACATCATGTAATAGTCTGCTTTGTGTTTCATGATGTGACGCAGAGTGTAAAAAGAACCCCAGCGTCTGTTCTATCTTTCTAGTAACTTTAAACTTATTTTAAAGAGATTTTTGTAAGTTATGTTTTTCATGAAAGATATAGGTTTTAGTTTTTTTGTTGGCTTGCTTTATGATTGATCTAGTTAAACCTCTTTTGTCGTTTGAATAATTTCTGGTCATTTTGTGACAGGAATTATTTACTTTCACAAATCAGTCACTGAAGCCTCGTCTGTGTCTCTTCAATTTATTCATTCATATTTTTAAATAAATATCATGTGTGTTAGAAATGTTTTTTAGTCTTCTCAAGAACTTTTCAACTACTCTCCCATCTCCCATAGACGTACAGGCCTACATGAAATTGTGATTTGGTGGATTGTTAGCAGGTGCTCCGGTTCGGTCTGCTCCTTTTTTTCTATCAATCATCTGTTATGATTATATAAATCCTTGTCCTTCCTCCTTCTTTGCCTACATGTCACTCTCTAGTGCACCTCTATTCTTCAGCACATATATGACCTCACTGTTTTGCGAGTGCTGTAAAACTCTTTTAGATTAGAACAATAACCTGTTAAGGGTTGAAACATCTCCTTTTCTTTCTCGCCCTTTATCTTCAAGGTGATAAAGACCTTGTGCGTATGTAAAACTTGGCCCACTTAATTATTGCTTTCATATGTGGCGTTTCGTTCAGAATAGTAATTAATCTTTAACCGAACTGGTGTGGGTGGTTAGAGGCCTGTGCCAGTGGTTGTTTCTTCCATTTTTTCTGTCTTTCTGTTGTTTTTCTCTGTTTGTTGTACTTTTACCCAGGACTAAATGACTGTTACTATTTTAAATGTAACTTCCGTATTATATTCAAAGTCAATTCCTAGACTGAACCGACGTCTTTTTGTGTAGGCCTACAAATACAAGATGTAGAGCCTGCCCATTACACCACAATTTATTTTGTATTCAGCTGAGTTCCAGACAGATGTGAATAATATCAATGGTAATATAATTATAATGATTAAAGAATATGCTCATCCCTGTTTCTGTGCGGGTGGTTCAGGGGCGCCACTGTTAGGTCCTACTTCATTTTTTTCCCTGAGCTGTCGTTTCTGTCTATCTGCCTTGCTTTTTCCTTGTTGTGCTACATGACAGTTATTGTGCTGATGTGTTTCTCTTTTCTCAAACTTTTAACGATTTCTGTGATTGATATTATCATGTGTTAAAGTATCCTTCTGTATTTTAGAGTTTGTTAGCGGGTGCTCTGGTGTGATTTGCTCCATCTGTCCTATCAAACATCTATTGGTGTATTTCTCCTATTTGGTATTGTAGTTTTTACTCTACTGTAGCAGTTTTAATCTACGTCACTTATATGATGACCTTATTGTCTTGCAAATGTTGTAAAAGTCCTCGTGTCCTCCTAGTGTCGGAGGTAAAGTTTATCAAGGGTGCCTTTGGTGGTATTGCCTACTTCTTTACTAATCAATTCTTCCTTCTGTTTTATGTCTTGTCTCTTGTCTTTTCTCAAAGTAAACTTATTATGAGCCACTTTCTTTATGTTGATGTGTGTTTTTGTCTCTTTTTTTGTTGGATATGAAGGACTAAACAGTGGGTGGTTAGCGGGTGCTCAAGTGTGGTCTGCTCCTTTTTGCTTGTAAAAAATTTATCAACCTTATCTTTCCCCCTTCTTTTTTGTGTTTGTTACTTACTACTCTCTTGTACCACTTCTATTCTTCGGCACTTATATGACCTTATTGTGTTGCAAGTGCCGTAAGACTCTTAGTAAAACTAAAAGTAAAAATGTTACTATGTGTACTTGGATGCTTTATATTTCATTCAACCTAGAACCCCTCCTCCCCTCCCTTTTCACTCTCTATGAGTTAGATTGCGTTGAAGGAAGCGTATATAAAAACACCAGCAATCATTATATTATTCAGAGTTATTTTGTGCCCGTGTTGGCGGGGAGTGGGTGGTTGGCGGGTGCTCTGGTGTGGTTTGCTTCTTCTTTCCTGTCAAACATCTGTCGTCCTTATCTCCCCTCCTTCTTTTTTATTTGTTACTCTCTTGTAACACCTCTGATCTTCTGGCGCTCATATGACCTTATGCAGTTTCGAGCGGCGTAAAACCTCTACTATAACAAACCAACAGTTGGCGGGGCGTTGTATTGAAAGGAAGGAGTTCAATGTGACAGTTGCAGGCATTGTTTGGACAGCTTGTTGTAGCTTGTTGTAAGGCTTGTTTCTGTTGACATGTTTGCCTTGCTGTTTTTTGTTCTGGAGGATTACTGGGACTGATGACAGTTGGAGTTACTTTTCTGAAAGTGAAAGTGGGTGGGGGTTTTTTATTTAGTGG